GCTCTTAGATGGACATTAATGAAGCCACATTATTCTCAAACACTAAATTTATAGGAATTTTGGATATTTAATGTCCTCCAACCATCAATCATCATAAAATCATAAATATCAAGTTTACCTAGTTCAATTAACTCCTATTAACTCTATTTAAGTCAATGGGTTAGGGCCCATAACTTTTATGGACTAAAAATCACCGTTAATAATCAAACCCTAACCTCTATCGTCAAGAAAATAGAAGAAGAGAGGAAGATTTAAGCAAGAAAGCTTACTTTTGGTGTTTATGAGCTCCAATTTACTTCTAATAATCTGCTTCTTCAAGCCCTAGCTCAACTTTTTTGTAATAACCCTGACATAATTTAAAATAAATAAATAAATAAATAGGTTAACTTGCTTAAAGTTTGTTTATATTAGTTCTTGGGATAAATATAACAAGTTAGAGACTTGGTATAGTGGCAATTGAGCAAGCCTTCATGTATTAGGTACTAAGTTTGAATCTGAAAGAGGCCAGAACAAGAGTTAACTTTTTTTTTGCTATGCAAAATTACCAAATTGCCCTTAGTTCCATCAGATTTTTTTTAAACTCTTTCTTCCTTCTTTCTCAACTATTCTGGAGCAGAGAGAGATTTGGGAAGGATCAACATTTTGCTTTGCCTCTCACCCATCACTATCTTCTTCTTCCTTAACCGAAGCTAGCATCGTCATTCACATGGGTTGCTGTTGACGCTATGCTCGTCCGTTTGCCTCAGCTATGATTTCTTTCATGAGTTGCTACCGTTCGTCTTCCTCTATCACTGATTCAAGTATGAAAAATCTCTCTTTCTCTTATCTTGTTATTCATGTGTGTACAAATGGTCTGGGTGAGCTAATTCCTTTTGGTTCATTTTCGATTACTGGTAAGCTTACTCTTCTCCTTCATTCATAATGACATCCCTTCTTCTTCACTATTTAGAATTGTTCTCCTTCCTCTGTCTGTGCGTGTTGATTCATTTAAGGTTAGAAGCTTTAATCTCTTCCTTCTCCTCTTAAATCTGTGCGTGTGAGTGGCTGGGATGGTATTAAGGAGATTATAAATTTTTGTGGTCTTCCTACTGTGCTAAAAATGGAAGAAGAAAGAAATTCAATGGAGCTTGAAAAAATATATATATCCTGAGGCCTAACAATAATCTATATATGGTTCAAAATATCCAAGCTAAGTTGAATTATTGAGTTAGTTGGTCTAGAATAATTGTTATAATAGATTTAAAAGAGAAAGAGCTCAAGTGTGAAACTTGAAATTTGTGCCTATGAGATGGTTGTTACAATGGTTATAAGAGGAATTAAATTTAATTTTTAGTATATGAAATTTTGTTGGTTTTTAGGTTTAGAATGGATATTGGTATTATAAGATGTATGGAAGCTGAAGTTTGAAAGGAAAGAGTAGTCTTAGCTTGGGAAAATATAACTATAAGTGTTCAAAAGAGTATCTAGTATAAGAAATATGAATATGAAAGTTATGGAATTATGAATGAATTTATACACTTCAAAGAAATGTAATCATGAAATTTTGTGTCTTTATAGGACATGTACAAGAAGAGGATTCTGATAGAAATTAAAGAAAAGAAAAAATATATATATTTTGGAGATTTGAAAGTGCAACAGGTAAGTGAATAATATTCCCTTTAATTTATTTTATTGTCATAGACTTTTATTGAACCATTTTATCTTTATGAATTATATTAATTTTGAAAATTATGGAATATTGGTAAAGGACAAGTGAATTATGATATGTGAATTTATTTATTATCAAAAACTGTATTCCCAAGGTTGATAAAAGCACTCTTATATGGTTGTTAAGTTTTGAAATGTATTGACTACTCAAGTACTGTAAGTTTAGTGTAATAGCTATAAAGTATAGTTTTCACAAAATTTGAGATTTGAAACAACTCATGCGAGTTTGGAATTGAGAATGAAAATTTTATTATAGCAATAATTATTTTTCTCACATGTTTGAAACATGGTTTTAAGAGGACTCTAAATAGAACATTGTTGCTAATGGCAGTTCCGTTAGCCCGTAACGCGCTATGGTTAAACACTAGCTAGTTTGTTCCGTGATCTTTCCTCTCACGTTTGATATTCGTGGGCTTTGTACCTGCGTTTGATTCTGTGGCCTGAGCCATGTTTGGTTATTTACCCTCATGGACTATGTATCCACGTTTATTTCGTAGCTTTGGCTGTGTTTGGTTATTTACTCTCGTGAACTAATGTGTCCAATTTTGTTTTCATGGCATATGCCGCATTTGGTTATTTACCCTCATGGACTGTGTATCCACGTTTGTTTTGTAGCTTTGGTTGCGTTTGGTTATTTATCCTCGTGGACTGATGTGTCCATGTTTGATTTCGTGGCATAAGCCGCATTTGGTTATTTACCCTCATAGACTGTGTGCTCACATTTGTAACCTGTTCTGTTGAGTTCTTAAAATTTTAAATTTTAATCAAAGTGTTTTCAAAATTTACATGATTTTGGCTAACAATTTTACCACTTTGAATTATACATGAGTAAATTATTTTCTTTAAGCATTATAGCATAAATTGTTTTCAACTTACTTGTATTTTTCAATTATGGTTATGATTTACAGGTTTATAAAATTTTGAGGAATTATTTTAATTAGTTTTCACCATTATTAGGGTTTGTTGATTTTAAATTTTAAGAATTTTACCATGGGAATGCTATTCACTGGAAAACTTATTTTAGTCTCAAATTTATTAGTTGATGTTGATCCCCCTTGACCTCTGAAGGGCAAACTAGCTATAGTGGGTGGAAATTTTTTATTAGTATTGTTGGTTTTAATGTAAACATATAATTTATATGTCTTTTTGATTTAAAAGAAAGAGTAGATGCTCCACACAGATTGTTGATAGACTTTATTTTGGTTTGTACATTGGTGGCTGGCTGGAAGGAGCTATGCTTTTGATTTATACCGTTATCTGTAGAAATTTTTGTTGTAGAATTTTTAGGAGATCCTAATTACAGTGGAGGTTCTGCTGAAATTTCTACAAAAATATTGACACTTTCTTATGACAATTAGCTTAAATATATATATATATATATATAAAATTTTAATTCTCATGTAATTTGATTAATTTTCTTTCTTTTCTTTTGTAAAAATGGAATAAATTTTCATTTCAAGGCTTACGGGGATGTGTGAGTGGTTTACACCTATGTCGGTCACTCTTTATTTTTGGGGCATGACAGTTTGATATCAGAGCCAAGGTTTTTATATATATAACTATGTAGAGCAAGAACTTTTCAGTGAGGTCTCAATTATCATTATGAACTCAGGCATAATTATAATTAAGGCATCATTAAGAGTTCTTTAGGAAGTTTTTGAACATTATTTGTTTTTTTAATTATTGACTTTTTGTTATATAAATTTGTATTTTGAGTTAAGTATTTCTTTTGTTTCTTTATATAGTGAAATATGCCACCCAGACGTCGAGTATTTACCAGGAGCTCCACTAGCAGTATAGCCTCTGCCAAAATTTATCCGACAAATGATATGACCTTAAGAGGTAGAGGACGGCGTTAGAGTAGGATTGGGGCTAGGGGTGGCCAAACCCTTAGGCCCCTTCAAGATATTCCTTCTAGAAGTGAACAAGTAAGTCCTCAATCTGAGGAGCAGACAGTCCGTTCAACACATGATATACGAGAGGAGAATCTTGTAGTTAAGTTATTGGAGTTTATGAAGTTAAATCCACCATCTTTTTTGGGAACCAATGCACAGGAGGACCCAATTGAGTTTCTCAAAGGAATAGAGAAGAGATGTAGGGCCTTGAAATGCCCTGATGTTCAATATGTCAAATTTGCAGTGTTCCAGCTTCAAGGAGTAGCAAGTACTTAGGCAAAAATAGTCCCAAGTTTGCATGCAACTAGAATACCTTCTTTGACTTGAGAAGAATTCAAGACTACATTTTTGAATCAATATTGACCTCAAAGTACTAGAGACGTAAAAGTTGAAGAGTTTCTGATTTTAAAGTGCAGTAAAGGAATGTCAATAAGAGAGTATGTGATAGAACACATTTGTTACCCACTTTTATTTGTCAATTAGGACCATTTTATTAATGATTTATCACCTTCAAGTGCACACATTGCATTAGATTTGGAACTTTGCCTAAGTTTCTAAGATCAGTGCATAGGGGCATTTTGGTCCAAAAAAATGAACTTTTGAGAAAATGTACAAGAAAAATTGACAAAGTGCATTTTATGTCCAGTTGATGGATGGTGAAATTATATTTTTAAAATTCATTTTAGTTTGGGAGTAATTAAATAAAAAAGTTAACACTTTCTTAAGTATCTTAGTTTGTCCTAGTTTTTGGTTTGCCTTTGTGTGGAAATTTTTATATAATTTTGTGCAGCCTGAAACTTGGTTAATTTAATAAATTCTCCCTTCTAATTATGAATTTAATTCTGGACATGAATTAGATTTTATTATATCATATGCTATTTAATTGAATCATGTGATTTATGTGACATAGGTGGCATGTGACTTGTGCATCAATTGGGCAATTGAGGTCAACACTCCTTGAGGTCAATGGCTGATGGTTTGCACGTGAATTATGATTATTTTGAGGGGTTAAATCAGCTAAAATGATGTGGATGACACATGGGAAATTAGGCACACATTGGAATCATCTACAAACCAATAAGAAGTTGCCACCTTGCAAGTGTGACAAGGCTCCCATTTACATTTTAATTTCTTTTTCCTTATTTTAATTAAGCTTCAGCTGATGGGAGACACCAAGGAGCACGCCATTTTAAGTCCCAAATGGGATCCAACACATATCTCATTCATCTTCCACATTCTCTCTCTCTTGTTCATAGTGTTCTTCATTTTCTCTCTTTTGTTCTTCATTTTCCAGCACCCTAACCTCCATTTTCAGCCACCAAACCTCCACAAAACTCATACCATTCTTCTCCTCTCTTCATTTTCGTTCCATCCCTTCCATTTTCACAAGGATTGAAGCTCATTTTCATCATTCAAGAGCTATGGAGTTTGGCCTTCACAAGCAATCACTAGGGTTCTTGAAGATGAAGATTGGCTAAGTTTCTTTGTGGAATCCTAGAGAGATGAAGATGGAGGATGAGTCTTGAGCTTCAAATTGGCTAAGTTCTTTTGTTTCCTATCCTCTTCTCTTTTTACTAGATGGTTAGATTCCTTAATCTAGGGTTTAATCATCTTAGCTTATAAATTCTAATTTGAATTTGATGTTGATGTAAAGAGAGAGGATTGTTTCATTTAATTTCTTCCTTGGACAGCCATGACTGAATTTTGCCACTCTTTGTTTGGCACATAATCTTGTGTTTTTCAATTAGTGAATTTCTTGTGTTAATATTGCATAATCTTGTGGTGTTAATGCTTGTGTTGTTGAGTAGCTTGACATAATCTTGTGGTTGCTCAATTTATGTGTTTGACCATGGCTGTTGAGAGAAGATTTTGAGTGAATCACTTGGCTAATGTCTTCACCAATTGGTTAATTGAACTAGGGACTTTAATCTAAGACCTAGGGAGGTTAGCTAATTAGGTTAATTGGCTTAGGATAATTTTCTTAAGTCATGACAGCTTTAGTCAAGAGGAAAGGGAAGCTAAACTTAGCCTAATCATGAGAAGATAATGAGTCCAAAATCAACTAATCTCTAGGGTTCCATTATTGTAAAAAGGGAAGTTCATTTCACTCACTTTCACTAGCATTTTAATTACTTGCATATTAGGTAATTAGTTTAGATAATTAGCTAGATAACTAAATTCCTACAAACTTTGGTTGATTTATTTCACTAGATAACTTTCAATTAGACTTAAAACCATTCCTTGGGAGATGACCTAGGGTTGGCCCTATATTGCATTAGGGTTAGCTTTAGTGTAATTTTGAGGATAAGCGACTAATTTCCTATCAAAATTTTGGCGCCGCTTGCCGGGGAATGGTTTAAGTTTAATTCTAAGGTTGTTTAGTACTTAATTTACATTTTTAGTGTTCCTGGAAAATTTTTTGAAAAATTATAAAAATTTGTGTTTTGTGTTTTGTTTAGTGTTTTTTGTGTGTTTTGAGTGTTTTTATTCTGTTTTGAAAAAAAAAAATTAGTGCAATTTTCGTTGGTTTGGTGTAGAGCTGAAAATACTTTGTTTCTAGTGTCTCTGTCTGAAATTGAAAAATTAACTGGGAATGAGTCTGAGGGAATTTGAATTTGAAATTTATTTCATTGAAAGCTCTATATCTTACTTCACTTTAAAATTGGTTTGGTCAATTTTGGACGTGGGAAGTGTCCTGTGGAAATTTTACAATCTAACAAGGTCCAGGGAGCCATTACAGAGGATTCCCAAAACCCTGTTTCAACTTTGAGTTAGCATATCTTCCTCTTTGTGCGTTCAAATTGATTGATTTGAGTTTCATTTTTCTTATCACTGTCCTATATTTGTTTCTTGTGTTTAGGATTTTCTTCAATTTTTCCATTTTCCTATTTGAAAGTTTGTTAGAAGCTCTGAAGGTCTTCTGGACGAAATCCTGTTTCTCCAGACCTGTGGACCAACTTGTGAAAAATTCTGGGAACGATTGGGAGGGATTTGTAATCTGAACGTTTTATATAATTTTTCTGAATATCTCTTGTGTATCTTATAAAAGTTTCAGGTGAATTTCTCATATGGATTGGCTGCTAAAAAATCCACAAGTTCACTATCTCCAGAAAGCCTACTGTGCAAATTCCAGAATTGTCAAAGCTTCTTGATTGAGCATTTCTAACTCTCTTTCTACTTGTTTGGTGTTGTTTTTGATTTTTTTTATTTTTATTGTTTTTAATTCTAATAGAAAAAAAAAAGAAAAAAAAAATTTCTCTTGATTTTTGTTTGCTTGCATTTCCACTCATACACTTGCAAAGGGCATATCATTTGAGCTTCCTTGGTCTTTCCATCATTTTGAGCTTGAATTTGAATCATTGCTTGTGGATATAAATTTCATTGCATTTTATGGCTTGGTTTCATGATCATGATTCATTCCATCATTCATTTGACATCCATTCCCATCCATTTCCAGCGCTTAACATTGACCATACATCCCATTTCCATAATCAATTTCAACAATATAACTTTGATTATCCACCCCCATATCATGATCATTTCCATCCAAGTCACAATTATGAATTTTTCAATCCCATGAGTTTTGAATCCAATCTAAGCACTCATGTTGAGCGTACACCATCCATTGACATTGAGCATCTAGAAAAATTATATGCACAAAGGGGTAAATTTTATTGTGTGCATTGTGAGGCTATCTCCCACTTCTATTATGATTGTCCTATTCTAAAAGGATATTGTGAACCACATGGAGTAGCCCAAGCCTCACAAGAGAGAAATTACATGTTTCAAGTTGAAGACACACAAAAAGTTGCTCATGAAGCTATTGAGAATATAAATACACCTCAAGCCACTCAATCTCCAAAAGAGAAGGAGTCAATCCAACCCTTACTTCAAGAGGTAATTTCTCCTATTCCTATTGAGGTTGATTCTTCTTCACATTTGACTTTATCTAATGATGAGCATAATGATTTAAATGATGATGACGTAGATGAAGAAATTATAGTTGAATCACCTTGGATGTTTGAGCATGAATCATATTGTGAAAAAGTATACCCTTGGGAGAAAAACACTTTGAGTTCACATGATAATTCTCTTGATTTAAATTCAAATATCATTGAAAGTGTTGACTCTTCACTTAGCTTGAATAAAGAAAATGAAATGGATGTTGATGGTGGCGATGATGTATCTTGTATGCTTGAAATTCCAATTCCTTCTTGTGATATTGTTAATAGTGCACATGCACTTGTTTCTTCTAACCATGATGTGCTTGAGAAAGGTTGTTTACCTTCTTTTGTAGGTGAACAAGGCAATGTAGCCAAACCATCTCTTGATTTCAAAGAGGAACTTGCTCAACTTGAAAAGGCTGTAGCTCCTACTAAGGATTTGAACAAGGAATTGAAAATAACTCAAGATGACAAGGAGGTTGAAAATCAAGGAATTGATTTTACAAAGCCAAATAGTAATGAGAATAATATTGATTTAATGCTTGATGATTTTGATGATGAGTTGGCTTTGTTTCATAGTACTTGTTCTAATTTCCTATTCACTTGTGATTGTTCACATGATTCTCCATGCCCTATTTGTTTAGAAATTAATTCATTTGTGCTTGAAAATAGTAGCAATCATTTACTTGATAAAATAATTGATGATGTATGTTTGAGTGAAATTAATCATGAGTGCACTTCTTTAGAACCCAATATGCTTGAGGAAGGGTTCTTTGTTGATTTTATAGGTCTAAATGATGATATGGCCAAGAACCCCCATGTACTTAGAGGATTTATCATTGCAATGGAAGAGACCTTGGCTAACCATGAAGATGATCAACCACATAAAGTTATGAAAGATTCTACACCATACATCTTGGAGCCATTACAAATTGATCTTGAGCCTCCACCTAAGATGCTTGGAATGAAGATGATAATGAGTAGCTTCATGTTACTCCTCAAAGATGAAAATTTCAACTTCAAGAGCTTGTGGAGATTTAAACTAGGTTGTATCTTCTTCACCCTTTCTTTTTACTTTACTTTGCTTTATGCTTTGATTTGTTGATTGAGTAAATTGCAAGTGTGGGGGAGATGAACCTAGTAGGAAAATTAGAGTTTATTTGCTTTATTTGACTTCTTTGTTTTGTGTTTTAGTTTGAAAAAAAAAAATATCTGCACCACACTTTTGTTATGCATTTATTATTGATCTCACCTTATTTTATCACTAGTCTATACATACATTGAGGACAATGCATGATTTAAGTGTGGGGGAGAGAAATAAACATTTTGTTTTGTTTGTTTGGTTTTGTTTGGTTTTGCAAATAAAAAAATTCAAAAAAAAATTTCTTTATTTTGTTTTGTTTGAGGTTACTTAATTACCTAGCTCTTGAATGGATATTTTGATTCTTGAGATGTGGTAATTTTTAGGATTGAATAGGTGTGAAGTGAACATTCTTTTACCTTGAATTAATGGATTAGAGTGGCATATTACCCATTCATGGAAGAGGCTAAACACTCATGTGTGATTAATTCCTTAGTGATATTACCCTCTAGAATTTGTTTCACTTCTTAATTAAGACCATATATCTTGCATTTGTTTGATAGGAGATGAGAGATGGCATTCATAAAAAATAGCCAAGAGCCAAATAGCCAACCTATTATTATTTATTATCCTTTGTTAGCCACTTTGAGCCTTTGGTTTGATTCTTAAAAAAAAAAAATATTCACCCTATTTTTCCCCAAGGAATGCATGTTACACTTTTATATGTCTTTTTAATATTCATTGCATGTCCTAGATCAAATGAGTGGATGCCTATTATCATTTCTCTATCCATTACTTCCATTATTTTCAAAGAGTTAGGGGCAACCAAAAAAAAAACAACAAAGATAGATTTGAAAAAAAAAATATAGTCAAAAAGAAAAGAAATAAAGTTGCTAGAAAAATAAAAAAAAAAGAAGAAAAAAAAGAAAAGAAAGAAAAAAAAAATAAAAATAAAAGTAAAAAGTTGCCTAGCTCATCCATTCCATTTGTTTTATTATTTCTTATCATTTCTTTCCATCATCATTGTGTTAAGGTGTTAACTCAATTGAGTTAGGTTATGCTTTGCATATTAAGGGGATATATCTTGATTTAGCATTATTTTGATGCTAACCCTATTTTTTTTTATATACATGCATTTCTTAGACATCCTTTTATTACCTATATCACAACCTAATAAAGTCCATTTGATTCTTGATTGCAAGTGCTATTTAGTGATGGAGATGTAGAAGGGTTACAAATTCATAGTAGGGTTTATCCTAAGAAATTTTGAGTGAAATTTAATACCTTATAGACTTTGAGTGATGAGAGTAAATACTTAACCTAGAGAGGCTTACTCTTTGACATTGATTCTTGGTAAGAGTTTGTTTGTGATGTGCATAATTCTTTCGTAATTATTGCCACATTGATTGATAATTTGTAGAAGTTCATGAGCTAGTATTTTAGTGACTTGAAACAATGTTTTTCTCTTATTTCTTTGTCTTATAGTTTCTTTTGGGACCTTTTTCACTTGATTTTGCCCGGAGTGCAAAAGCAAAGTGTGGGGGAATTGATAGAACACATTTGTTACCCACTTTTATTTGTCAATTAGGACCATTTTATTAATGATTTATCACCTTCAAGTGCACACATTGCATTAGATTTGGAACTTTGCCTAAGTTTCTAAGATCAGTGCATTAGGGGCATTTTGGTCCAAAAAAATGAACTTTTGAGAAAATGTACAAGAAAAATTGACAAAGTGCATTTTATGTCCAGTTGATGAATGGTGAAATTATATTTTTAAAATTCACTTTAGTTTGGGAGTAATTAAATAAAAAAGTCAACACTTTCTTAAGTATCTTAGTTTGTCCTAGTTTTTGGTTTGCCTTTGTGTGGAAATTTTTATATAATTTTGTGCAGCCTGAAACTTGGTTAATTTAATAAATTCTCCCTTCTAATTATGAATTTAATTCTGGACATGAATTAGATTTTATTATATCATATGCTATTTAATTGAATCATGTGATTTATGTGACATAGGTGGCATGTGACTTGTGCATCAATTGGGCAATTGAGGTCAACACTCCTTGAGGTCAATGGCTGATGGTTTGCACGTGAATTATGATTATTTTGAGGGGTTAAATCAGCTAAAATGATGTGGATGACACATGGGAAATTAGGCACACATTGGAATCATCTACAAACCAATAAGAAGTTGCCACCTTGCAAGTGTGACAAGGCTCCCATTTACATTTTAATTTCTTTTTCCTTATTTTAATTAAGCTTCAGCTGATGGGAGACACCAAGGAGCACGCCATTTTAAGTCCCAAATGGGATCCAACACATATCTCATTCATCTTCCACATTCTCTCTCTCTTGTTCATAGTGTTCTTCATTTTCTCTCTTTTGTTCTTCATTTTCCAGCACCCTAACCTCCATTTTCAGCCACCAAACCTCCACAAAACTCATACCATTCTTCTCCTCTCTTCATTTTCGTTCCATCCCTTCCATTTTCACAAGGATTGAAGCTCATTTTCATCATTCAAGTGCTATGGAGTTTGGCCTTCACAAGCAATCACTAGGGTTCTTGAAGATGAAGATTGGCTAAGTTTCTTTGTGGAATCCTAGAGAGATGAAGATGGAGGATGAGTCTTGAGCTTCAAATTGGCTAAGTTCTTTTGTTTCCTATCCTCTTCTCTTTTTACTAGATGGTTAGATTCCTTAATCTAGGGTTTAATCATCTTAGCTTATAAATTCTAATTTGAATTTGATGTTGATGTAAAGAGAGAGGATTGTTTCATTTAATTTCTTCCTTGGACAGCCATGACTGAATTTTGCCACTCTTTGTTTGGCACATAATCTTGTGTTTTTCAATTAGTGAATTTCTTGTGTTAATATTGCATAATCTTGTGGTGTTAATGCTTGTGTTGTTGAGTAGCTTGACATAATCTTGTGGTTGCTCAATTTATGTGTTTGACCATGGCTGTTGAGAGAAGATTTTGAGTGAATCACTTGGCTAATGTCTTCACCAATTGGTTAATTGAACTAGGGACTTTAATCTAAGACCTAGGGAGGTTAGCTAATTAGGTTAATTGGCTTAGGATAATTTTCTTAAGTCATGACAGCTTTAGTCAAGAGGAAAGGGAAGCTAAACTTAGCCTAATCATGAGAAGATAATGAGTCCAAAATCAACTAATCTCTAGGGTTCCATTATTGTAAAAAGGGAAGTTCATTTCACTCACTTTCACTAGCATTTTAATTACTTGCATATTAGGTAATTAGTTTAGATAATTAGCTAGATAACTAAATTCCTACAAACTTTGGTTGATTTATTTCACTAGATAACTTTCAATTAGACTTAAAACCATTCCTTGGGAGATGACCTAGGGTTGGCCCTATATTGCATTAGGGTTAGCTTTAGTGTAATTTTGAGGATAAGCGACTAATTTCCTATCAGTATGATCAGAAGTTTACTGAATTATCTTCTTTTGCCTTACATATCATCTCGACTAAAAGGGAACGAATTAGCAAGTTTGTGCATGGATTGCCAATAGATATACATGACAACATAGCACCTATGTGGGTCATGATATCACCTATGTTGAAATTGTTGATAGTATATTGAGAATGAAGAATCAACATAGGGCAGAAGAAGCAATTTCTAAGAAACTCAAGAGGGAGCATGATGAGAAATTTCTCAGTTCTTCTTCCAAGAGTCATCAATTTTCAAGTCAATCTCACTTTCGTGCCTTACAGTCTAGGCCTAGATCATTTGGTTCATCATCAATAAGCGCTCCTATTATGAGACCAAATTCTAGTAATGTTAAACCTCGAGCCCAGTCAGTTCCGAATCAATCGAGTTACGTTAGAGTCCCTTATACTAGTTATGGGAAATACCATTCGAGACCGTGCAATAGAGTATCTGGTGCATGTTTTGAGTATGGGCAAATAGGCCATTTGAGAAGAAATTGTCTATATCTACAATCTATGTTGAGTCAAGGATCAATTCCACCTTTTTCTTACCCTACTTCCTTGTCAATCCCACTTGCTAGAGCTGCTTCTACTTTAGCTAGCAGGGGTAAGTTTAGAAGGGGAAACGATCAGCGGGGATAGTCTTCTTCAGGGTACAAACATGTAAGAGTTTATGCTATGATAAGACAGGATGCTAAAGCTTTAAATGCTATTGTTACAGGTATTATAATAGTGCGTTCTAATCAAGCTTATGCATTATTTGATCCTAAATCAACTCATTCATATGTGTCTGCTTATTTTGCTAAGAGGTTGGGCAAAGAACCTATCGAATTTGATAATTCATTTATAGTTGGTACCCCAGTAGGGGAATCTCTAATTTTTTCTTATGTGTACAAGTTTTGTGAAGTGTCTCTTAAGAGTAGAGAAACCCTTATTGATTTGATAATGCTTGATATGATTGATTTTGATGTCATTTTAGGCATAGATTGGTTAGCTTCCTACTATGTTACCGTTGACTACCACTTAAAAGTAGTGAAATTTGATATTCTAGGTGAAACTCCTTTTGTGTTGCAAGGGAATTTTGTAAAAAGACCTACTAATCTTATTTTGACTTTAAAAGCCCAACAATTACTATTATAAAATATGAAATTTAAAGGGTACTTTCTACATCGGTTGGAAGACAAATGATGTAGAAAGTTAAGGTGGTAGCATTTTTATAATAATGACAACGCGTATTATAGTTTTTACACCAGGTGAAAAGGAAACCATTGTAAAAAAGGCTCTCTACAGCCGGTGACTAAGTAACCGCTATAGAAAATAATATTTCTACAACGGGTCTTACTCGCTGTAGAAACTCAACTTTCTATAGTGGGTGATGTACACCCACTGTAGAAAGATTATTTTCTACAGTGGGTGCTTAGTCACCTGCTGTAGAAAAACACTTTCTACAACAGGTGTATAGACACCCGCTGTAGAAAGTAATTTAAATTTTTTTCCCCACTCCGTGCCTCCTCCTTCATTTTCTCTTCTTTGTGCCTTCAGAACTCTCCTTCTTCCTCAATCTCACTTGACCGACACCCCCCACTCCACACCTCCTCCTTCATTTTCTCCTCCCGATCTCGCTACCTCCCCTTGCCTCCTATGAAACCGCCCCCGTCCCTCCTCTTCCCCTTCCGAGCCCCCACCCCCTTTACCCTGCCCCTGCCCCATCCTCATCCCCCTCGCCCCCCACCCCTGTCCCCACCCTCCTCCCCCTTGCCCCCTGCCCTCATCCCCTTCCCCATCCCCCGTCCCCTCGGCCACCTCCCCCATCCCCCACCCACCTCTCCCTATCTCGCCCCCTTCCCCTTCCCCTTCCCCTTCCCCCATTCCCTCCATCTCCCCTTCCCTTTCCCTGCGCCCCCTCCCCTATCCCCTTCACCACTCCCTGCGGCTCTACCCCTCCCCCCTTTGCCATCATTTCCTTCGTATTCCCCTTCCCTTGCCTCTACTACCTCTTCCTCCTCCTCCTGCGGCTTGCTCCTCCTCTTGTTGCTGCCGCCACTCTTGATTGATTAGTTATGGCTCTTAATTTTTGTAAAGATACTTTTTTATTTGATTGTATTTTTTTTATCAATTTTTTTAACTTATTAGGCTGATATGTGTTTATATATATGATGATAATGATATTGATTATTGTTGGGAGTGCTGTTAGTGGTTTCATAAAGCTTTAAGTTGTTGCATGTGATCATTAATTTGGTTTAAAATTATCAATTTTTTCTATTAAATTTTTTTAAAAGTCTTGGGTGGTCTAATTTTTAGGGGAAATTCTGCTGAAATTTTTTAAAATTTATTTTTTCCCCTAAATTGTTTAAATTTAATTGTTATTGATGTTGATTGTTGTTGGAAGTGCTGTTAGTGGCTTCATAAACCCTTAGGTTGTTGCATGTGATCATTAATTTGGTTTAAAATTATCAATTTTCTCTATTAAAATCTTCTAAAAGTCTTTGGGATCCAATTTTTAGGGGAGACACTACCAAAATTTTTTAAAATTCATTCTTTCCCCTTAAATTTAGTTTTCAAGAAGCCCTCATTAGGTTGTTTACATGTGGTAATCTATTTAGAAATTTAGATTTTTGAAATAGTTTCAAGGTAATAACATTAGTTATATTCTTTAAGAGTTGACATATAGATCATAGTTAGATAAATGCTAGACGAACAAGTAATGAGTATGATAATGAGGTAAAGGAATTTTTAGAATTTGCTAAGAAAAATACTGTTGACAATAGTGCAAGGTTCTATTGTCCTTGTGTTCATTGCTTGAATAAGAGGAGATTAGGTGTTACCAAAATAAGAGAGCACTTGATTTGTGATGGGATTTGCAAGAATTATACGGTATGGATTTGGTGTGGTGAATGATTGAAAAATTATAGTAACACATCTCAATATATGGAAATTGATAATCTGGATGATGAAATAGATATAAATGAAGATTAGTTAGAGGACATGATCCGTAATGTTGGGGAAGAAGCTTTTAAATGAGCACATATGTATGATAACTTGTGTACTAACGCGAAGAAGCCTCTATACCCGGGGTGTACTGATTTTAGTTTGTTATCTAGGGTGTCAAAACTGGTTGCCTTAAAAGCAAGAGCTGGGTAAAGTGACCAAAGTTTTACTTAGTTGCTAGAGTTACTTCAAATAATGTTGCCAAAAGGCAATGTACTACCAAATCGTTATTATGATGCCAAGAAGATCTTATGCCCAATAGGTATGAAGTATAAAAAAATACATGCATGCCCTAATGATTGTGTGTTGTACAGAAAAGAGCTTGAAGGGGAGGATAAGTGTCCTGTAAAGGTCTTTTGGTATCTTCCAATTATACTAAGGTTCAAACGCTTGTTTGCAAATACTAATGATGCGAAGAACTTGATATGGCATGCAAATGAAAGGATATCTGATGGAAAACTTCGACATCCAGCTGATTTTCCTCAATGGAAGAGAATTGATCAATTGTTTCTTGAATTTGGCAATGAGCCAAAAAACCTGAGGCTCAGACTTTCTACTGATGGAATGAATCCTTATGGTAGTCTCAATAGTATTCATAGTTCATGGCCTATTCTTTTGGTGATTTACAACCTATCACCTTGGCTGTGCATAAAATAGAAGTATATGATGCTATCTATGTTGATTTCAAGACCAAAACAACCTAAAAATGATATTGATATTTACCTAAGACCTCTAATTAAAGATTTGAAAATGTTGTGGGAGGTAGGTGTAGAAGTGTTTGATGTGAATCAGAAGGAAAATTTTAAGTTACATTTTATGATCTTTTGTTCTATAAATGATATTCCTGCATATGGGAATTTATTTGGCTATAGTGTGAAAGGTCATAAAGCTTGTCCAATTTGTGAAGAAAGCACAAACTATCACCAACTTCAACATGGAAGGAAGACAGTCTACCTTGGCCATTGAAGGTTTCTTAGATGAGATCACCTTTATCGTAAATTGAAGAAAGCTTTTCATGGTCACTAAGAGCACAATCATGCTCTGGATGCTTTGACTGGGGATCAAGTGTTTGAATGAGTGAAAGACATTAATATTGTCTTTGGTAAGACTAAAAAGAACATTGGTGCAAAAAACATATGGAAAAAAAGGTCTATTTTTTTTTACCTTCCATATTGGCACAATCTTAAAGTGAGGCGCTATATTGATGTTATACATGTGGAGAAAAACATGTATGATAGTATAATTGGAATGCTTTTGAACATACCAGGTAAGACTAAGAACGGTGTGAACGTAAGATTGGATTTGAAAGAAATGAGAATACAAGAGGATTTACACCTGAGACTAGAAGGTAAGTGAACTTATTGTCCCCCAGCCTCTTATACATTGTGCAAGTCCGAGAAAAATTTTTTTTCTAAGTGTTTACATAGAATTAAAGTTCCTTCAAGGTATTCTTCAAATATTAGGAAGCTTGTGTCTGTGAAAGAGTTGAAACTGGTAAGCTTAAAGTCTCATGATTGCCATGTCTTGATGCAACAACTATTACCTTTGGCTATTCGAGGTATATTGAAAGAAGATTTAAGACTTACAATAACTAGACTCTGTTTCTTTTTCAATGCTTTATGTAGTAAAGTTATTGATCCCTGTAAACTAGGAGAGTTAGAGCAAGAAGCTTGTATGATTTTGTGCCAACTTGAGATGCAATTTCTTCCTACATTTTTTGACATTATGTTTCACCTAATAGTGCATCTAGTGAGGGAGGTAAAATTGTGTAGCCCTGTTTATTTATGATGGATGTTCCTAGTTGAGAGATACATAAAAATACTAAAAGGGTATGTCAAGAATCCATATTGACCTGAAGCATCGATAGTTGAAAAATATGTTGCCAAAGAAGCCATGGAATTTTGTTAGAATTACTTGTCAAGTACAGAATCAATTGGACTTCCTACATCTCATCATGAGAAGAGGTAATTAGGTCAAGGCACACATAAAGTATCAGTAAAGAGCATGAGTCATGATGAATTACAAGAAGTACATTTATATATTTTGAATAATATTAATGAAGTTAAAGATTACATTTCTTCTCATAAAGAACTTCTAAAGGCAGAAAATTATTGAATGAGAATGACTGAACAAAGGTTGTTGAAAGAGCATAATAAGACTTTTGTAGATTGATTCAAACAGAAAGTTTTGAATGAAAGTAGCATTTCTGATACAGTTAAATGGTTGGCAGGAGGTTTTAAGTTTGATGTTATATGTTGGAGTGTGTACAATGTTAATGGGTATTCTTTCTACACAAAGTCCTTGGATGAAAAGAGTATAGTGCAAAATAGTAGGGTTATGATAGTGGCTAAAGCTGTTCACTTCTCTAACTCAAAAGATAAGAAACCTAAACTAGCAGCAAGGACTTATTTTAGGGTTATTGAAGAGATTTAGGAGGTTGATTATACAAAATTTAGAGTTTCTGTTTTCAAATGCAAATGGGTTGACATCAACAGTGTTCATGATGATAAGTTAGGATTTATAATGGTTGATCTTAAAAAACTAACTTATGGGGATGAGCCATTTATCATGGCAGACCAAGCTAAACAAGTTTTCTATGTGACAGATTCAAAAAATAAAAATTGGTCAATTGCACTGAAAGGAAAAATGGTGATTGATAGTGATAATAATAAAGAATCAAGCTTTGATATTTCTAAAACTCCTACTTTCTCATTAGGGCTACCAATTTTGAATGTAGTAGATGAAATATATGATGAACATGCCACAAGAAGTGATCACTATGAAGGGATATGGGAGAATATCCCTATATGAACTTAGTTTTTAAATTAAAGTATGTTTTCTAAGTTCAATTAAATTTATATTATGTTTTTCTAACTATCTTATATTTTTTTATTTTTCTAATTAATTTAATTTATATGAATTAATAGGAATATGGAGTATCAAAGTGAACATGGTGATAACACTCAAAGCCAGCCTACTATTGGCCAGCCACTTGGTGATGACTCAAGTCAGGCCACCCCTAGTGAGAGCTAGTTTGTGAGGAGAGGTAGATGTGGCACACGATTGAGAGATTTGACATTAAGTAGGAGTGCTGGGCATAGGTTACCAATCCAATTTGATCGGAGATGCAATACGATAGGGGAACACAAGGTCAAGTTTGTTAGTTTTCTTAGCCTCCTATCTCGTACTAAACCCCATATTGTATTTGAGGACTAGTCTGATGTGCCAAAACGTGTGAAGGACCAGATATGGGAAAGTATTCAGGTACATAATTAATTTATGCATGTAGTTATATATCATTGTTAAATTGTTGATTGTCAACTTGTGTTTTAATTGCAACTCATGTACGATGTTTCTTCTAATCAAGATTGTTGACACAGGTTGATTTCCTACTGTGGAATGTGCTGGAGAAATTTCAAGACTGATCTTGCTAGGAGATATATCCATATTGAGGTGCCAAAGGGTCAAGCTCGTCCTAATCCTCTCGACACATACCAATTCCTTGATGAAGATACTTGGCAAGAATTTATCAGGATTCAAACTTTTGAAAAAGCTTTAATCTGTTGATTTCTAATTGATTTAAGTTTTGTTTAGTTTTATTTCAACTATAAAATTTAAAATTCATTTTTTTTAATAGGAAAAATGAGTTAAAGGGTAGGAAATTGTTTGACAGAATTAATGCCCCCACACGCTGTCTCGTGGGGGTTATGTTAGGGCTAATAATATATTGATGGTAGAGAAACAGAAGAAGAGAGAAGCAAAAGCTAAGTTCGATCCTTCCATACTCCTTTCTCCACCATCCCTCGTCTCCCTAGAGGAGAAATGGAGATATAGACAATAATACAAAAAAGGAGGCAAAAAAAGGATATACAAGCGAGATGGCACGCAAG